AATCCAGGCAGGGTGGGGCGTCAGTCGCTGACCCTAACCAGCTGTCCCTGCTCCATTCCCTCAGGCCAATTCATTCTCCCTGACCTTTGATTTTACAACTCCCAAATGCTCCACTTTTTCTGAAATGCCCATATTTCAACAGTACCCACTTTTGCTAAATATGCTTTTCAGTTTCTCTATGTCAGGAGAGGCTCAGCTTTGAATGAACATAAAGAAGTTCCTTCCTTTTCTTTCCTGAGGTGCCCCATTCTAATACACATCAGCTTTGGGGGCATATAGATTGTTGTGGTTTCTCTGGGAGACTTCCCTTCTCTTGGTTACTATCATGAGGACTGGGGGAGTCTTCCAGGTCTACATGTCATGGAAAGGGCCAGGAACTGGGATTGAGGGATTTGGAGTTCCTAGGTGACCTCCACCCACTCTATGACCCCAGGCCAGGATATGCAACTTCGCTCTCTGGCCCCAATAGTCTCAAAGAGGGGATGGCCTAGATGGTTCTAAGATATTTGCACATGCAAGGCATTTCTTATCCACATCCTTTGTGTCCAGGACACAGTGTCTTAGACTCCTGGGATTCTGTAGCTAGTATCATGTTGAGGGACTTTTGTCAGCTGCTTTGAAACCTGGACTCCTAGCCTTGATCATATCCTCTACTTCTTTCCCCAGCACCTCTATCATTATATTTGTTAAATGCTCCTGGTGTGTGGCCTTGTGTTGGTGATGGTTTTGCTGGTCCTGCAAAGGTACCTAAAACCAATGCTCTGCTCCCCAACATGGCAATCTCTGACAGATATTATGGGCTCACAGGACCTCAGAGAGGGGCCACCCAAATGCTCTGTGACTATTCAGAGGAGGAAGCAAACATTTCTGGAAGTTCCTGGAGAAGGTAGCACTGAATCTTAAGGGATGGATGGAAACAGTGATAGGCTGTTGGGGAGGAAGGGTGTCCAGGTGCAGTGAACCCATGGGGAGGCAGGAGCATGCAGGTCCACCCAGACAGTGGGTGGGTCCTTGTACCAGAAGGGGGTGAAATACTTCTGGGTGCTCCTGACATTCTGGCCAGGTACTGTCATTCCTATCATATATTTAATATACTAAACAGCATTATAGTAAATTGAATATTTACCTCATCTTGACATCTTCCTTTAGCCAAATAGGGATTACATTCAGTTTGCATTTAGTTTGGGAATGGTCTATGATGCTCCTCCTTAAAAGATTAGTTTTGTTCCTGAGAACTCTTTCCCTGCCTTTCTTTTTTGTGCCCTTTCCTTTCTCCATCCCTCCATCCCCAGTCCTATCCATCATGGCACCCTGCTGTCTCCACCTGTCCACTACAAGTCCACCTCTCTGCCTGCTCCTTTCCCTCAGGGCCCTGGGTGAGACTGAGAGACCAGGGTTCTCCTCTGTTAAATACACTGCTGCTGAAGCAGACCTCCTAGGTGCTTGTGTTTTTGGAACGATCTGGAGATCATGCCCCTGTCGAATACCAGGAGCCTCACTGTGACTCTCTGGCTGGTGAGCCTGACTCAGGCCGGCTGGTGTTGGAGTCTGGGAACCACAAGCTGGGCCCGTCCCTTCCCCTGGCTCCAGGCTCCAGAGAAGGGCTCACAGCTTGTCTATGGGCCAGCCTGCCTCTCATGATCTTTGCATTCAGGGGCTGACTGCCCATTTGTTCCCGGTTGAAAAGACTTCCTGCAAAGTTCACACTACCACGACCTCCTATTTTCCCCACCCCTGGAGTGCCCAGGGCTCTTCCACCAAGCCTCGCAATGCATTGAGGTGAGATGAGGGTTTAAAGTTAGGAGACCCTCCTCCTTACCCTTAAGTGGCCCTGAAAAGGCCCCCTTCTCTGCAGGGGGAAGACAGCCCCAGAACAGCCAGCCCTCAGGGACCTCTCCACACGAGTGGCCCGGGGCCACCCCTGTCAGGAAGAGGGGCCTGCAGTCCCTGTCTCTTCTCAGCCTCTGACAGGTGTAGCGTGTGTGATGTGGGGGCTGGCTGAGGGTTGTGAGGCCCAGTGGCACGCAAGCACGTTCTAGCTTCCTTCAGTCCTGGATTCTCAGACTTGTGTTTAGGAACTTTGGGTTTAGTTCTCCCTCCATCTGTGCCAGGATGGGGCTCTTTGGAACTTATCCTTGTGGCAGGAGGCCTCCCTTTGAAGACCGTGTCAAATGAGATGGAATCTGGCCAGGTTGTTATAGGAACTCGGGAGAATCCCTGGAGTGGGAAAATAATGAGAACACGGGGCCATTCACCATTGAGCCCTGGAAAGTAGAGCATTCATTGTGTGGGGGCAGAGGCTGTGGCAGAGGGAGGAAGCGGGCTAGGGGTGGGGAGTTTGTTGCATCCCTAGGCGAGGTGTTTGGGGGGCAGAGTAAGGGTCTGTCTAAACTCTAAACTCAGATACTAAACCACTCATCTAGTTGAAAGAATTTTGTTGAAAAAAATAAATGTATCGTCTTAGAAGGAAATCATCTCACTCTGGCAGTGGTTATTCTCTGTGGTAAGTTTATAGGTGATATTAAATGATTTTTTCTGCTTTTCCATTTTTTAAAAAAGATTTATTTATGCATATAAGAGCTGGGGCACAGGCCAGAGATATGGGGGGTGAGAGGATTCACCAGAGACAGAGTGGGGAACAAAACAGGCAGACTGACTGAAATATACTGCTGAGGGGAGCAGCAGGCGAAACAGGAGAGGTCTGCTGCGCCATGTGGGTTGCTCCCTGGCTGGGGATCGAACTCATGCTGCAGAGGCTGTGGATTGCCTCATAGTGCAGTGCCCAACCCACTGCACCACCAGGGAGGCCCTACTTTTCCATTTTTTCCCTAATATTTTCTCTAAACAGCATAGATTAATTGGGGGGAAAAGCCCCCAAACACAAAGCTATCTCCACTCTGGAAATTAATTCTGGGAAGGGACTCTGGAATTTAGGAATTAACAGGTATACATTTGAAAGAGCAGGGACAGGACTTTCCAGCGTCCAGCTGCTCCCAAGTGAGACGTTTTCCTGGCTGCACCAGCATGGGGCACTTCGCACAGAGGCCGATGGGCAGGACAGCCCAGCTAGCTTGTGTGGGTGCATGGGTATTTAGGCCTGCAGTTGCAGTACAGGAGGTGGCTGTTCATTTCCCTCCTATGTGACTGCCCTATCTGCCGGCTCAGCCAACCCCCAGCTTGCCCCATTGGTGCCCTTCCTAGTGCTGCGTCCTCCTTTAGTGAAGGGGCAATCCTGTTGCAATCTCGGCTGTCCTCAGCCTGCTTTGTTCCTCTATCAGAATGGGAACAGGGCGACATCACTGGGTTTCGTCCCCCCACACTGAGTATCCCTGAGTCTGGTCTCCTCACATGACCTTGACATGGTCTGCTGTGTATCACTGTTGTCTGTTTATGGGTATTAATGGATTGTGACATATGCTTGTGCCCGTGTAACCACCACTTAGGTAAGACATCAAACGTTTCTTCCCTCTCGCCCCTCCCGAGCCATTATAATGGTGAGTTTTGCCTCTTTTTGCACTTTATATATACTTGTTGGCATCTTATTTTTATGCATATTAGACTTATATTGCTATATAGCAAATCACCCCAAAATTTAGAAGCTTAAATGACAGTCAATTCTTTTGTTCACCGACCTTCAGCTTGGACAGGGCTGTGAGTATGTGTGTGTGTGTTTCATCTGTACTCCTTGCAGATTGGCAAGGGGGCCTTGATGAGGGCTCACTTGCATGGTGGGTTAGTTAGTGCTGACGTCAGCTGGTGGCTCAGTTGAAGGTATGGACTGGGCCATAAGTTCCTATCCACATGGTTCTCTCCATAGGCTGCTTGGGCTTCCTTATATATGATGGTTAAGTTCAAAGGTAGGGACCATCCCAAGAGAACAAGGCAGAATGGCAAGGCATTTTTATGACTTAGCCTCATGTGGGCCATACTCTATTTGTTGAGGCAGTCACAAAGGCCTGCCCAGGATCAAGGTTGGGGGGTGAGTGGTGAATATAGACTCTACCTCTTGATCAGGATGTGGGAAGGTTCTTAAGGAGCACAGGGGATGGGAGATATTGGGGTGGTCATTTTTGGAAAATAAATTCTTTCACATTGTGAGATTCATCCACATTGCTGCATGTGTTTGTAATTTGTTTCTTTCATTTCTGTATAATGTTTCATCATGTGCATATACTACAATTTACTTTTCCAGTCTAGTATTGACATTTGAGTTTGCAATTTTGGACTGTTTGAATAGTGCTGCTATGAATATTCTTATACAAATCTTTTGGTAGACAAAGACTGCCTTCTATCACTGTTTCTGTTTCTTTAGCTTTTAAGATTGAAAAAAAAAATCATACAATTCTATACTTCTTTTTTTCCCCTTCTTTCCCTATCAGTTACTGTAGCCATATGTACTTTAGTATGTAAATCTCTGCTAGTGTTTTTAAAATGTTGAAAAGAAATTATATATGTATTACATAAACATGTTCTATATGAAAACTTTAAATATTACAGCTAAGATGAAATTTTCTGACACTCCTTGTCAAGTCTGGGCTCTTTCCTCTTATCCCAGTGTAACCCCTGTCACCAGTTTGACGGGTCTTATCCTAGAGCTTTTTCATACATTTACACATATAAATATTCTCACAGAAAATATTGTTTTCTATGTGTGCATGTGTCTTGTTTGTTTAGTATATTGAATGGCATCATACGGATCTGTAATTTGCTTTCTCATTCAAAAAAATATGTTGGTGATATGGCTATGGAATCACATGTAGATTGACTTCACTTTTAAAACTCCCAAATAATATGCTAAGTATTATCATGCCACTGTCATTTAGTCCTTCCTCTATGGAAGGACATTTGGGTGGTGTTAATGTTTTGCACGTGTCCCATGAACTGGAGGGCAGCCCTCACACACTGAATATTCAGACTTGATTGATACTAATGTTCTGCCACGAGAGAGAGTTCTAAGAGCCCTGGATCTGTGACTCAATGTTTTTTTATTTCCCCCACAGAGACGTCTCAGAGAGGCAGTACAGCTGCTGGAGGATTACAAGCATGGGACCCTGCGCCCGGGGGTCACCAATGAACAGGTAATTGATGAAGATGGGGAGAGGAGAGAAGGTGGCAAATTCATACCCCTTCTCCTGCAGCCAGAACCATGTCGCTTCCCTTCAGTATCCACATCTACTACTACTGTGGGCTTCTGTTCCTCAGAGGGGGTCCTCGGGTCTCTCAGTAACAAGGTCTGGTGGTGATAAAGCTAAATAAAGCCAACAGCAGTGGCGTGCTGGAGCCGATGTGCACCCCTTCCCAATTCCTCACTCGGCGAGATCACAGTGGTAGCTTGAAGTCAGCAACAAGGGGAGTATTTACAAGATGGAAATGGGCAAATAATATAAATTCCTTTTCCAAAACTGATTATTAAATATTTGCCAGTATACCACTATTCAAAAGTTCAGGTCGAGTGTGAGAAAGACTGGGATGATGGCAGAGATTAGGCTAGGACACTGTTATTTCATTTATTTAAAAAAAAGATTTATTTTTATTTATGTATGCATATAAGAACTGGCGTGTAGGCCAGAGGTGTGGTGGGGAATGAGAGGATTCACCAGAGACAGAGTGGGGAGCAGAACAGGCAGACTGACTGAAATACACTGCTGAGGGGTGCAGCGGGTGACACAGGAGAGGTCTGCTGCGCCATGTGGGTTAGCTCCCTAGCAGAGGATTGAACTGGTGCTGCAGTGGCTGTCAATAGTGCTGAGAATTTAAGCCCTGCACCACCAGGGAGGCCCTGTAATTTCATTTTTTAATGTCATGTAAAAACTTGAATTATAGTTCATAGAAATACTAATAGTTGTGTTTGGTTTGGGAGAGGAGTAAGAGCAGGTAGTGTAGGACAATTTTAATGACTACAGAGAATGGTGGTTAGTATGCCAAAGTTTTCCTTTTGTTCATAAGCTTTATTTCAAAAAAATTAAAATTAATTTCACGCTTTTTCAAGTAATGTGAGCATAGTTTATAAGTCAAATAATACTAAAAATTTAGTATTTTTTCATTCAAGAAAAATGGTATGCTGCCTTATCCCTCCCCAACTCCCATTCCTGTTCCCTAGAAGCAAATACTTTTAACTGTTTCTTCAGATAGAAAACTATATTTTCAAGTAATATACTTATCTACTTATCTATACTGACATTTCTCAACTAGTTCTCTTTTTTTATTTTTTTTAAAAGATTTATTTATTTATGCATACAAGAGCTGGGGTACAGGCCAGAGATATAGGGGGGTGAGAGGATTCATCAGAGACAGAGTGGGGAACAGAACAGGCAGATTGTCTGCAGAACACTGCTGAGGGGAGCAGTGGGAGAGTCAAGAGAGGTCTGCTGCGCCATTTGCATAGCTCCCTGGCAGGGTATTGAACTCTGTGCTGCAGTGGCTGTGGACAGCTTCATAGGTTTTGTCTTAACCTCTTGCGCCACCAGGGAGGCCCTCTTTTTTTTTTTTTTTAAGATTTATTTATTTTTGCATACAAGAGCTGGGGTACAGGCCAGAGATGTGGGGTGTGAGAGGATTCACCAGAGACAGAGTGGGGAACAGAATAGACAGACTGACTGAAACACACTGCTGAGGGGAGCAGCAGGCAAGACAGGAGAGGTCTGCTGCTCCATGTGGGCTATTCCCTGGCTGGCCAGGGATCGAACTCATGCTGCAGAGGCTGCGGATTGCTTCATGGTGTGGTGCTTAACCCCTTGCACCACCAGGGAGGCCCTCAGCTAGTTCATTTGTAACATCCATTATGGTAGTTGAGGAATCATCTGTCTTATTATCTACACCCCTAAATGTGCTTCCCTCTCCTACTTTCATCACTCTCCCAACAGAATTAGCATGGTTTTGGGATCATGGATACTTAATATGCATTGTTATTATAATTATATAACTAAAATTTACTGTAGAGTAATTGATGATATCCTGATTATATTTCCTCTCTTTTTATCTGGAGTTAATAATTGCCTCATTTTTCTTTCTACTGTCACTAATTATTTTGGTGCTCTCTAGCAGTATTTTTATATTTTCAGTGCTTCTTTTCAATCTGAAGACTCTTGTCCTTCGGTTTCATTTTTTTTTCTGGAGCCCGCCTCCTCTAGTTCCAGGGCTTCCTCTTGGTGTACACCTGCATTTTTGTGGAACACCGTACTTTGTAACTTCCTGAAAAAAAAAGAGCAAATGAAAAGAAAATTTTTAGTTGTTTTAGGTCTAAAAAATTGTAATTCTGCACTCAGCCTTCATTGATAGTTTGTGTGAGGAGAAAATTCTAGGTTGACAATCATTTTCCTTCAGAATTGTGAAGACATTGTTCTTTTCCAGTAAAGCTGTGGAAGATATGATACTATTTCATTTCCAGATATTTTACACATGACAGTTTTTTTCTTTGGGAAAATGAATAGATTTTTAGTAAATGACCCAGCAGAGAGAAGGAAGCATCCCTTGCAGAGAGCATGCTGAAAGAATCAGTAGGACTGGAGTCAGTCACTTAGATTCAGTTTTTCCAGGATGATAAACCTCCAGCATCTGGGGGACACAGGTGAAGGTCATAAGTGTCACCCTTCTATGTCACAATGTCATTTTTTAAAATTTAATTATTTGGGGGCCTCCCCTGGTGGCACAGGTAGTTGAGGCAGCGCTGTGAAGCTATCTGCAGCCTCTGCAGTGCCCATTCGATCCCTGCTGGCTGGCGAGGGTCCCACATGGCGTGGCAGACCTCTCCTGTCGTGCCTGCTGCTTCCCTCAGCAGTGTATTTCATCAGTCTGCCTGTTCTGTTCCCTCTCTGTCTCCAGTGAATCCTCTCACCCTCCCGTGCATCTGGCCTGTACCCCGGTTCTTGTATAAACAAACAAACAAACAAACAAATAAATAAATAAATCTTTTTAAAAAATTTAATTATTTGGGGTTCCTGTTTTGTGACCCCCTTTAATCTGGAGACTCGTGTCTCTTAGTTCTGGCAAATTTTCTTATATTGTTTATTTGATATTTTCCTCTTATTTTGGCTCTCCTATTAGAGTGACACTGAGATTTCCTTATCTTTTTTTTCCCTCTTCTGTTCCACTACTTTGTCCTTCTGTTTGACTTTGCAGGAAATTTCCTAGAGCGTATTTTCAACACTTAGATGGTATAATTTTAATTTCTGAGAGGTATTTTAATTATTTCGTTTCTTTACTCTTTTTTGTAGAATCCTCTTCCTATTCCGTGAAAGCAGTGTTACCTCATTTCTCTGCTTCATTCTGGAAGAAACCAAGTAGGGGAAGGCGTCTACCCTCCCAATATCCACTTAACATACTTTTATGAATTTCTTGACTTTTAGCTTCACCTACTCCCACCCTCCCCTGTGCTTCAAAATAAGGAGTCAGTCACTTGGATTCAGTTTTTCCAGAAGGTTGATAAACCTCTACATTTGGAAGACACAGTTGAGGGTCACCCTTCTATGCAGGAAAAGCCTGGGTATTCTCCTACTTTGAGTACAGACTTTGAACCAATCCTCTATGTTTAGCCCTTTGAGTAACTAATTTTTCCTGTGGTACCTGGTACCTCCAAGTCTTGAGCTTGACTATTGTCCTGCTGGCTTCTTCAGCATGCCTTCTGCAAGGATGCTTCCCTCTCTCTGCTGGATCGGTTACTGAAAATCTTCATTTTCCATCCTAAAACTTGCTGCTGTCCCCTTTCCTCTATAGTCTGTTTTTCCCTTCTGGTAACTACAAGGCACTGCCCTGTCTTCTTTTAATACCTTTAGGTATAAAGCCCATATTGCAGCTTTCTGCTGCCAACATAATATACTAGTGCTTGGCTGGTACTTCCTGGGTGAGGTGGCTTAGCCATCAGCTCTCCCAGTGCAGTTAATTCCATCATGTGTCTAGAACACCTCTAGGCCAGGCTTAGTACTAGGGCGTAGGTGAGAGAGCAAGAAGAAGCTGGTGAGGATCTAGCCTCTTGGATCCCCAAGAATCTAGGCAATGAGAGTGAAAACATGTGATGCTGTGGAATAGCAGAGGAAATGGTAATTCTAGACTAGGGGTGCCTGGCAGCGATTTCTCACCTGAGATTTGAAGGTGGAGAAGAGGCTGGTGAGGAAGAAATGCTGGTGCAGGAGCAATCTAGATGAGGAAGCACGTTGTGAGCACAGAGCAAGGCCCTCCAGAGGAGTGGCAGGCGAGTGTGCTCAGCTGCAGCCGACAATGTGAAGGGAGAAGGAATGTGCCAGCCAGTGATGCGGATCCTTGAGGAGTAAGAAGGTTGCAGCCTGGCTAGTCAGGGTCCGTCTTCAGGATCTTTACTGCTTGCTGAGTTGGAGCAAACATCAGCAGTGTGGGTGGGCTGTGATCTCATACCCAAGCGCAATTCTCTCAGCCACAGGCACTGAGGAGCCTGGGTGGCCTGACCTGACATGCTCCCTCCCCAGGTAGAACTAGTCCTTGGACCCTGCGGTTCCTTTCAAATCTGTCAGGAATAGGTCCAGCATCTATGCTGGCCCAAGCTCCCCTGTGTCTTGGCTTTGCTAAGGTTGGCCTTTTGGGACTCCTCTAGCTCCCAGGGTTTGGGGAATAAGGCCATGTTTTCCTTTACTTCCTTTAGTAACTTAAAGTCGCTTGTCCTATTTCCTGGGCCTCCTTTGTTTTTCTGTCCTGAAAGCCCCCATGTATCTCCAGGGTGCCAGGAGGAGGGGAGGCAGAGAGTTGGGAGAGGGGGCAGCGGGACTTGGCACTAACCATGCTATTCCATTCTGTCTGGTGTTGGTGATGCCTGCAGTGTCCATCTGGTGACTGGGTAGCACGGTGCTCTAGGTGTGAGTCTGCCGCTCTGTCCCTCTAATAAGCAGCTACTCTCTCTTCCTCCCTCCCCCACCCACCACCCTTGACTCCCCTGCCTTTCACAGTGCTTCCCTCCCTGGGGTTCATCTACAAAGCCACAACCCAATCTGGCCAACACATACACGGGAACTAAGGGGATGGGTGATGACAGGCCAGCTCAGGGGGTGGGTAAGGATCAGCAGTCTGGAATTAAGGCCAGTCCTCCATTTCCGGTCCAGGTTGGCCCTGCTCA